CACCCGCTGCACCCCCCTGCCCCGCTCTCCAAAAGACTGGAATAACTATCTTCGTAGTAGTGTGTTCTGGTTTTATGTCTTTTTGCAAATTTAAAATTCGCATACTTTTTGTCTTTCCTCATTTTTTTCCGGAAATTCCTCATTTCTTTATCTTTTTTACTGAGCTTGTGCTGACCTGGCTGAATTCGACGTTTTTCCTCCCTCTCCCCCCCTTTCTATCCCCTTCTCTGTGCCCTCACGCCATCCTAGAGCTTGCTATTTCCGCAAAATTCCGGAAAATGCCTGAAAATTTCCCGCTAATTTCCGAAAAAAAAAAGGAAATCTTCAAAAGTCTGGGAAACTTTCCGTTTTTTCGGGGAAAATTCCTGAAATTTTCCGAAAACTTTGCTGGGCTTCCAACCCTACTACGCCTTCCTTTGAGGCTCTCTGCTCGTTGTGTCAATATAACGACGCAAAGTAGAGGTAAGCGTTGTGCGCACGACGTGGCGCGGCCGCTTGTTTGGGGGGGTGGCTGGCTGCTCGAGCTGTCTGTCACACGGGAATTCGTACAGAGGTTAGGACGGGGCGGGGCGTGGCGCTCCGGAGAAAGACATTCGCAATAAATGATAACATCTTGTGAGTCTGGGTCTCGGTCCGGTGGCCGGCCACCTTGCCCCCCTCCACGCTCCTCCCCTTGTCCCGCCCCGCCCCGCCCCGCCACGCCACGCCCCCTGGGGCACGGGCGGCTGCACGCTCTGAATGGCACCGCTCCGTTGCGTTCGGCTTGGTCATGTGCTAAGTAGCCTTGAATCTCTCGCTTGGCAAAGGAGCAGTAGTTTGAGCGTTTTACACTCACGGCATTGTCGAAGACTGTGGTGGCCAGCTCACCTGGGTGCCCGGCAGCACTGAGTGTACGTTCGGCAGGGCAGCAGAGGGGCGGCGGTACGCGGTACGCCGGGACAGCCAAGGTCGGCCACCTCACAGGCGCCTGGGAGACGGGCCGCCCCGCCGGCCAGGGCTGTGTGATGTGGCCTACCCCGCAGGGGCCTTACAGGCGGGCCGCCCCGCCAGGCACGGGTGCGCGCTGTGGCCTACCTCGCAGGCGCCTTATAGGCGGGCGAGGCGGGCCAGCCCGCCTGGCAGGGCTGCGCGCTGTGGCCTACCTCGCAGGCAGCTGAACGCATGAACATGTACACCTACGTGAAGCTGGCCCCACCCATTGTCGTACTAATTCTGCCGATCACGGAGGTAACTTATTGTACGCAACTTATTCCACCAGTATCTTCTGCTGAACCGTTCTCGCGGTGCTGGCACGGCCATTAAGCATCAAGCATTGGGCGTGCTGACTTGTTTACCGGGCACGCTCAGACTCCTCGCATTCTCTCTGCCTCGCCTTTGGTTGGTGATTTGAATCGGAAATTGATTTGATTTGCCTCAATCGTCGCCAAGCGGCAGTGACAGCAGGGGCCGAGGCTGCACACTTATTGACTTGCATTGAAGTATATGATGTATCTATGTATGATGTATCGATTATCCGCACTGCCCGTTTGTCATCATCTTTTGTTTCTGTGTGTTTCAGGTTGGATGAGGAGAAGTTCGAGCTGATAAACGTGAGTATTACTTTCACTTCCACAATTTAAAACAAACAATCACAGCACATTAAAAAGTGTCCAGTGAAAAAGGAAGTGTGCGCCGGGCCGATCTTCTTCTTCCTCTTTGCTTTGTGATTCTCCTATCCATTTGGTTTTTGAACAGCTGCTGCTGCAGCAGCAGCAGCCACTCACTTTGAAACAATGATGCCCGCTTCTCTCCAGCCCTGATGTTTACTCGTCCCCCTTTTCCCGCGCTGTGATTCAATTGCGCTCTGCTTCCCTTCTGTTCCCGCCGCGCCGCGCCCGATTTATTTATTTATTTAAACCAACGCGGGCAAGCGGTGGCGGCGGTATGACCGAGCGTTTTTTCTTTCTTCTTGTGCAGAACACGGTGCTGCCGGAAGCTGTCCGCTTTTGGGAGAGCGCGCTGATGGTGCGGAGGGCTGTCTCGACCATCCGCCTCAACAGGTACCCTCCGTCCAATTTATTTTTAAATTTTGGTTACACATGAAACGCAGAGTAGTGTGTCACGTGAATGTCGCACACTTCCAGGTGTGTGAAATGTCCATTTCGTACACTTAAGGGAGTGAAGGTGTTAATTTTCCTTTCACATTCCTTTCATTTTGTACCTCCATGTGAATATTGGCATTCACACACCTCCAAGTGTGCGACATTCACTCAGTTTTTCTCTTCTTTAGGGTTGGAATCCCTGGAAAGTTTCCGGAAAATTTCAGGAAACAAATTTCTGGAAAAGACGGAAAATTTCTGGGGGAAAATGAAAAATTTCCCAGATTTTGGAAAGTTTTTCGTTGTTTTCGGAAAACTTTTCAGATATTTTCCGGAAAATTTGGGAAATTCCCAACCCTATTTTCTTTATTGAAACGATTTGTGAATCTGCAGGAAGTGCGAGAACAACCAGCTGTTCTACCGACGTGACGAGGTGTACTGCAAGAACGCGTGCAGCGAGAAGACGACGTGCGGCGAGGTGGAGGTGCCCGACGAGCACCTGGAGGTGTGCCGGACGTGCAACGACACGGGCCAGGACTGCGGCGCGCAGCCGGGCTCGGTGCGCGGCCAGGGCATCGACGGCGCCGACTTCATCTTCTACGTGTCGGCCACGCAGACGGAGCGCTGCAACAAGGTAAGGGACTTTCCGGAAAGTTTCAAGTTTTCCAGAAAAAAAAAACTTCTCTTTTCCGGAAAATGTTTTGTGAAAATTTGGGGGGGGGGGGGGGCGTTAACGCTAACGGGAAAGCAGATGACTGATACACATAGCGTCCGATTCGGTTTGGTTTTCCGAGTTGTTCGTACCTCAGTAGAGTAGAAGAGAAGGGAGTGGGGGGCAGGGGTGTTGGAGGTGGAGATCTCGCTTCCGAAGCAATCGTAGAAGCAGCAAAAATTTCCTAACTGAAATGGAATAGAGTCGGAAAATGTGGTGAAATAAATTTCTCAATTTTTCTGTTTACATGATCTTGTCAAACTTGACGGGATCAAACTTGATGGGAAACTTTATTATATCAACTTTTCTTTATTTTCGGAACAATATCGCTCACACCACTGAAACATCCGACTATTTTTTTCTTGGATTTCATCTCATAGAAAAGAATGTCTCCTCTGAACCGGCCGTAGGGGAAGACTGGAAAGTGTTCGTAGCGTTGTACAAGTTCAGTGCTGAGATTACGGAAATGGTACGTACCCTGCAAACCAATAAAGATGTTGGAGCGGATGCAGAATAGGAAAAACCGGGAAAAACGAAACGACAAAGTCTTTCTCTATTTGCTTCGATCCAACACAAAGGTTTAAATTAAAGCACGGAGTTTACAAAGTTACATTCTTTGTGGTGCCAGGTAGCAGACTGTGAGGTGCGAAGCGAAGAATAGAACTAAATATACTGCTAGGCCGCTGCTAGGCCGATAGGCATTGCGTGCTCGTTGCAATTTGCCATGAAACGAAAACGGTTGTCCTTACAACGCCAATATTTTCGCTAAAGCTTTCACATAAAATTCATACCTCGATCGAAACTGTTCTGTTGTGCCTGTTGTGCTGCTTGCAATGGATGTTTCTGTTCCAGTAGCTACAGGTTCCTACTCGCAACGAATTTTTTTAGCCCGCTCCAAATCAACTCAAACATTCGTTGTCCCAACTAAAATTTTGTTATCTCTAGGAATCATTTTTCTCCGTGTATGAGGAACCCGACGTACTTACTTTAGGAAAAGGGCAGTTCTTGGGGTACTTAGGATTGTTGCGGGAAATCTCGGATGCGGCATCCTTCGCGATGGTGGCCACCACCTTGCAGTACTCGCCGCCGTTGCCGTCCATACGGAAAAAGTTCTCTTTCCAGCCGGCGACGTTGTCCCACTTGGCGATGTTAACTTTGACCTGCTCGGGCGCAAGTTTCTGAATACAGTTGGGGACGGCATGACGAAGGGCAAACGGCGTGCGCTGTGACAGCACAGAGAGTCCTCCTCCTCACCCCGAACTCGCCCTCGACGACGTCCCTCGTCAAGAGTAGCTGGCCGTTGTACACTGGGTACTTGACGGACCGTACATGCTGGATACTGCCCGTCAGGTTGACCACCAAGGCGCCCGGGGTGACGGTGCCTTCAGGGCACGGACTCGCCTCTCTGAACATGATGTTGAACGGGCCCTGCGGGAACACGCACCCAAGCTGCTAACCGCCATCATCGCCTTGGAGGTTTTGCCCCGCAGAGGAAACGTTTTCCCAGGCGACGCTGCCGACCATGGCGCCTGCAGCGCCTCGGGTAGGCCGACCCGCCACGCACCTGTGTGCAGACGGAGGCCCACCACCCCGAGCGCCCAGCTGCTGTAGGTGGCAGCTCGGTGCCCACAGTTCAATGGCGTCAACTGGGCAAACGTTTACTCTGTGGGCACCTTAACAAGATCCGGCAACGATAGTTATGAGTGGTCTGTCGAAACACTACTTACGGCGTACGAATTGATGGAGGGACGCGGAGTGGTGAGGGCGAGCACAGCGGCGGGCAAGACGCAGACGAGCACGGCCAGCGCCGGCGCCGCCTTTCTGATGCTGCGAGCTGCGGGTCCAGCACGACCGTCGCGCCCTGGCATCGCGTGCTATGTAGAGACCGCGGCCCTGTACGACATTGGTCCAGCTGCGCGTGTTAACTAGCTGACTAGCACATCCAACACTCATGTAATCTGCAGTGAGGCAGATGCGCCCCCCCCCCCTTTTCTCTCTCTCTCTCCCTATTTACATTTTGCCTCTGGCTTTTCAACCAATGCTGCTGCTTTAACACGTTCCCTGCGGCATGACCACTATGTGGGCACGCCCCTAAAATACCCAATTGCACAGCCGCAGGGAACGTGTTAAAAAAATCAAAATTTTCGTTTTGGTCTCTGGTTTTTCGAGTTTGTTTTTTTTTTCTCAACGTTTCCCGCTCTTGTTTTCGGCTTTCCCTCCGACAAGGGCCAGACGGTGGCGTACGCGGCGCACTGCCAGCAGGAGGCCGCCCTGGACCGGCCCATCGCCGGCCACGCCAACCTCTGCCCGGACAACATCGTGACCAAGCGCCAGGAGCTCGAGATCCTGCTCTCCACCGTCAAGCACGAGATCCTGCACGCGCTCGGCTTCTCCGTGAGCCTGTACGCCTTCTACCGCGACCAGGAGGGCAACCCGCTCACGCCGCGCGTCGAGAACGGCAAGCCGCTGCTCAACGAGAAGTGAGTTGGTTTTGTTTTTTTTCACCGTTATTTGAGGTTTTTCTGAGGGGTACTTTACTAGAAGTATAAGGGTCCATCTATTTTTATTGTGTTATTGTTTTTTTTTCTGATATTTTTTTTCGATTTTGCCTGATTTTTCTGATGTTTTGTGAGTGTGCACTGTGCACTGATTTTTGTTTTTGAGTGAACGACCCCTTGGGTTGTAATGTTCACCCACGTTGGAGGATTGTTTGTGACCACCTTGTCCTCCTTCCTCCTCAGGCTGCAGGCGCGCCAGTGGAGCGACCGGGTGATCCGGTCGGTGCACCGGCCGTCCTGGCTCGTGCGCGGCGGCTCGCTGGCCAGGGACGTGCTCATGATGGTGACGCCCAGGGTGACCGAGGAGGTGCGCAAGCACTTCAACTGCCCCCAGCTGGAGGGCGCCGAGCTGGAGGACCAGGGCGACGAGGGCACCTCCCTCACCCACTGGGAGAAGCGGGTGTTCGAGGTGAGGACTAAGGGTGGGAAGCCCTGCTGGAAAGTTTCCCGGAAATTTGTTGAAAAATTTCTGGAAAAGGCGGAAAATTTCCGGGAGAAAAGAAAAATTTCCCAGATTTTTTAAAAAGTTTTCCGTTATTTTCCGTATATTTTCGGAAAGTTTTCGGAAATTTTCCGGAAAATTTGGGAAATTTCCAATTCTAGTGAGGACCGAACCGAACATGAACCTGTCAACAGTCAGTCATTTTTTTTTAATTTTTTTTTTTGTGAAGTTGTTTACCTTATGTTTGTGTCGACAGAACGAGGCGATGACCGGCACCCACACGCAGAACCCGGTGTACTCGCGGCTGACGCTCGCCCTGATGGAGGACACGGGCTGGTACCGGGCCAACTACAGCATGGCCCAGCCCCTGCTCTGGGGGCGCGGCCTGGGCTGCGACTTTGTCATGAAGAGCTGCAAGGAGTGGATGGACAAGAGGCACGCCAGGTCAGCGACCGTCTATCTGAGGACTTAGGCATTTTAATTTTCCGGAATAGAAAAATTTTCAACATTTTTTTACAACTCCTTTTTCCTGAATAGTTCCCATTTTTCAAAATGTTTATGAAAATGTTTCATTTTGTTTTTTGAAAAGTTTTCAAATTTTCCGGCAAATTTTCGGAATGTATAAAATCCGTACTGAGGACTCACGACCCACTCATTTTGCAGAGGAGAGTCGATCGCGCCGTTCTGCGCCAAGGTGAAGAGGGACCCTCTGGAAACGGAGTGCACATCGGATCGCAGCTCTGTTGCTTTGTGTAACCTACTGGAGCACACAGAGCAGCTACCACGAATGTTTCAGGTTTGTAATCCATGTCGCTTATCCATCTATATTTCATGTTTCTTCTTTCAAAGTTTAAAGGAGGTAATGCACTGAGTGCTTTAATTATTTTGCAGAACTTTGATGAGATAGCCCACGTCGCACCGGGCCAAGAAGGATTTTATGGAGGTTCGGTTTCATTGGCCGATTATTGCCCTTATATACAAGAATTTACATGGCGGTCCAAAAATGTTGTGGTCAGAGGCTCCCACTGCCGATATTTTGAAAACAATCCTCGTAAGTTCGTAGGACACCTCACTAAAAAAAGGGCCTTTATAAAAGTGTTTATTTTGTTTGTTTTTTGTCAATTGGCAGATAAAGAAAAGAATTTTGCTCTTGAAAAATATGGGGATGATTCAAAATGTATTCTCCACACCAATAAAATGTGGGAAGAGAGATCATGCACACAACTTCGCCAGTGGCAGCACTGGGGTTCTGGTTGCTACGAGTACCACTGTGCTGATGGGAGGCTTCACATTCATGTATGTAATTGAAAATTGTCTAATGTTTAACTTTCAAAAACATAAAACAATAACCACCTTTCTCTAAACAGGTTGAAAACTATACATTCACTTGTTATGCTGAAAACCAGAAAGTGACCATTCAATTACTCTCAAATGGTTGGTTACATAATGGTGTTTTGCTATGTCCACCCTGTTCTAAACTTTGTCAGGTGAGCTGAACCTTCTTCTTAATACATTAGAGTATGTCCTGACCACTTTGTGGTCATGTTCCCATAATTTAGAATCATGGGCTCTGATATATCATCATTATTATTATTTTAAATAATAATTAAGTGTCATTTACTTACTACTGAAAACCTCTTCTCTCATTCCAGGGTATGTTTGAAAAACCTGATGACAAGTGTCTGCCAGACTCGATCATTCCTCCTGATGTTAAGTATCATCAAGATGAACTTATTTGTGGACAAAGTGTTCCTGAACCTCTAGTATGGATGTCATTCCTTTCAATTTTTATTTCTGCGTTTGTCCATAGATAAGTTGTCAATGAGTAACTTAGTATTATTTGAATTCTTTTGGTCTTCTGATACTGCTCATTGAAAACCCTTTTGAACAAAACGTTTTGTAACCAAAACTGATTTCAAAAACATTGTTTTAATTTCTGTCAAAAACTAGTGATTCACGATATGTTCACACTTATTGTGCTAAATTTTTAGTTGTTAGTTTCAATGCCATGATTTTGTGTACTGCATTCAGTCTTGTCCTAAGTAGAAGGCAAAGGCTAGTGAATCAAGTGGGAGGCTGTACATTGTATTTGCATAATTAGGTTTTTGTTGTGATCTCCTTGAGGATGTTACATTTCCAAAGTTTTATAACATTAAGAATTATAAAATCTTTACTTTTAAAAATATTTTAGTTTCAAGTTTGTGTACTGAGGTGAACGTCCTGTTAATTTTGGAAACATGACTGTTTGCCAAATGTTTAAATCCTGCATAAATTAATCTGTAGCTGGTGGGTATAAAGCAGCTAATGATTCCCCATGATATGTGTTAGGTAAGATTGTTATGATGTAAGTGTGCTATAATAAGTAGAGAATGAAATTATTCCAGTGGAAAACCATTTGCTGGAGCACTGTATGACAATTATCTGTGCTGTTCCCACCTTGAATTGAATGAATTCTGTGACTGTTTTTTTACTCCATCAATTTTCAGTTTTAAAACTATTTAAATGGTATGACAAGCTCTTAAATGGACCCTGTGACTTTTCTTTGATTATTTTAAAGTAATGAAATGCAAGTGCTTATTTTAAAGATGCATAAATGTATTGTGATGTATTGTAAGTTTCAAATGTTGCCATTCCTTGTTTGTATATTATTTTTCTTTTACTGTGATTTATTACTGCAGAGTATTTGTGTAAAATATGTAACTTATAAGATAAACAATCAGTATGTTGAATGCTTCTCGATGAGAAATGCATTTTGAAAATGAAAGGAAATGAATGAAATAAATAAGAAGTATAATATTTACTGATTTATATTTAACTCTTTGAAGTAGAGGCTTGTGGCTTAGATTTTGATGCTTTGCTGCTTTTATCTTTTAAGAAAGGCTGATGTAGCACATTGTATAGGCGAGTTGCTTTTTGAGGTCCTAGACCAGGGCAGAGGGAAAGAGTGTCCTTAGAAGTCGTTGCTAATTTCTTCAGGGATCCAAAAGTTGACAAAAGTGTGGCTGCATCAGTCTTGTTGATTGATCGAATAGATGTTAATGCATTGACCAGCTGTTTGGAAAAATAATTAGGATTTGTCTGTCAATAGAAGACAACTTTCAAAGAACAAGGACTCACAAAAGTAGGCATACCTTAGAATGGGGGTCTGAATCACTGCGTTCCATGATGAGATCAGGGGGTTTGTGTTCGAATATTTTGTAAGTTTCAAGAATGCGTCCAGCTTCTTCTGCACTCCATGCAAGCACTAGAGTTAAGTTGGCGAGGATGCAAATACGAGTCAAATGTTTGAGAGCATGGTGAGGATCAGGAGAATCAACCTAAAACAGACCCCATAAAATACATCATTCACCTAATGGTTTTGAGTGCCAGCAGTTTAGGTTCCTCTTACCTGAACTAATAAAACACGGAGCTCATATTTGTTTCCCAGTACTTTCAGGCGGTCGTGAATGTAATCTGGATTTAGATTATGATATCGAATTGACAGAAAGAGGGCACAGGAAGAGGGACCCATCACATAATCTGCAAGAATACTTTCGTCGAATTCCCATGGTATGTTGGAGACAGCCTTAAGAGCTGGGTTGCCTTTCTGTGGAAAGACAAGCAAATATATATTAGAGAGAGAGAGAGAGAGAGAGAGAGAGACGCCAACGAGATGTTTTGTTGATACCCACCTGTTTAGGGCTCACAAGAAGAGCATGACTGGCATGAGCCTTGGAAGTAGAGGGACCTTCTCCTTTGGACGGAGATCCTTCCTGAGATTCACTCATTGCTTATCAAAATATTCAAAGCTAAATTGCTGGCTGAGCTAAAACTAGTGTCTTGATGCTAGGTTAGGTTTTCCATACAGAAGACACTTTACAGTCAAGACACAGGATGAATCTTAGCCAGCTTCGAATGGTTAACAGTCGAAACCAGAACCCATTCCGAATAGAAACAATCGGACTCTATCGGTACGACACGAATGACAGATCAAGCCTATGAATGAATGAATGAAGTATGTAATGTGTTGTTTGTTTTCAAGAGTGACGTCCCCCCTCCACCTCCATCCTGCCCCCCCCCTCCTTCCTCTCGGTGCGTCTGCACACGGATAAAACGCGGTATTGCAATAAGAATGGCACCATAATTATTTCTAGTTACACAATTTATTGTTCACATAAAGATACACAAGTATTAAAAAGTCTCTTCAAATTCACATTCTCGAATTAAGAACATCTGTAATTATGTACACTGCTTCATTGTCACAGCCAACAACAGCTTTATCTTTGTTCACGTCGACAGAGTTAATTCCCTTGTGAAGAGTTGGCATTAAGGAGACAACATTCAAGCGATGTTTAACTGCATCAGTGTTCAGCCAGGGGTTTTCATTTTGCAATGGATCAAAACCTGAGTTGATACAAAATTTGTCAGTACAAAAGTAGCTTGAAATATTAAGCGATATTGTGTTAAACATATCAATTACCTGTCCAAGGAGTGTTCTGATTAGGTCTAACCGACCTTGAAACAGAGGATGTATCCCAGTGCCATGCCTCTCCACTTGATGAGGTAGAAAACAGGTGTTCGGGGCGGTCCGCATGGAATATCATTTCGCTGACTAAACATACCAAAACTTATAATACACAGCTGATATACATCTGAAGGCAAGAAGTAAAGCGTACTCACCTAAACCAGAATGAGCAGCAAGAGGAACAGCATAGGACGTTTGTCTCAGATCCCAAACAGTGATGGATCCGTCTTCACCACCAACAAGTAGCGTATGCTGTTGAGTAGGGTGCTGAGCAATGCAAGTAGCACTCAAGCTGACTTGATCACCAGAGAGCATAAACGTCATGTGAGGCTTGTCATCAGCAACTCGTAGATCCCATTTTTTCATTTGACCTCGGAGATTTCCAGTTAAAATTTCACTGTGCCGTAGGTACAAAACACATCGCAAGGAACAGCTATCAGCTGATTCTGTAAAGGTCATGAGTGAGGACATGATTAGTATTTTGAGACATCACACACCTAGAATAATAACAACACATCGGTTAAAACTACTGATTGACAGCATATATTTTCTTAAAATTAAAAATTTAGTCTGAATTACCTATTATTCTGATAGGTTGTCTTTTTTCTAAGTTCAAAGATACAATACTTCCATTTTCCCCAATAGTTGCCACGTCTGTCAAGAAAGTTGCAAAGCCTGTACAAGCACCAAGCTCTCCAGTTCTGGAAAAAATATAGAATAGATCAGTTATTCACTTAGCCATACAATTTAGATACCACTAAGAGAGGCAGAAGACTTACTTGAATGGATGTAGCTTATCCCATGATACAATCGGTTTTAAAACAGTGCTGGCTGCATCTCCAACACCAACAATTTTAATAAGTTCCACTGAACTTGATGAGGTGGAAACTAGAAATTGGTCATTCTGAACAAACTAGAAAAGCACCCAAAAATGTACATTAGATAATAGACAACAAAGAACAGTTTATACAAAAATTTTACATACCTTCAGTTCAGTGACATCCCCAGTGATCGGTTTCTCACAGACCATACATGGATCATCTTTTTCATCAATCCCCTCTCCAGGACATGACCAAAGAGTTACCCTGTTTAAGTCCTAACAGAAGAAGCGCACAAAGTCAAAACACCACATGTAGAAGAGCAGAAAAGAATTGTATCAGAAAGTTGGGGAAAAAATGAGATGAAATTAATAAAATGAGGAATGAACTTTTAAGGTGACAAGCATGACATTCAGATGTAAACAAATAATAAAGCACTAAATGGGAATCTAACCTCGTTATCCCAACTGCCTGTCACAAAGTGATAAGATTCGAAACCACTCTCAGGCTTCCATCGAACTTTTGATATCTTTTCGGAAATAAATGTTCCCTGAATTCTATCGTCCATTTTGTTAAATTATACAAGTAACAATTCAAGGACAAATCTCTCGTGGAAATTGGATGCCAAGTGTTTCTTGAAACCCGGTCTCGATGCGCGCGCCGCGCCGCACAGACGGAACTGTGCTGTCGCGCAGAGAAGTGCCTCTTATATTTTTCATATTGCTTCGCTCGCTTCCGAGTCCGATCGCTGACCAGCGTTCCTTTTGCGCACATTTCCTCCATGTTCCATGAGTTTGTTGTGGCTGTAGAAAAGAAAGAATTTTTCTTCTGGTTTATTGATAAAAGTGAGCAAGTAGGGCATTTTCCTCGGTTGTGCACTGATTTTTCGTCACCACAGACATCATGTCGAAGAGGCGTATAGAAGTCATCGACCCCTATTTCACCAAAAAGTCAAAGTAAGTGATTTTCGGTTTGGTTTGAGCGTGTTTGAGTTTCTTAATCGTGGTTGTTTCGTTGCACGTTGATTGCACGGTCCGTTCATTTTCAGTATGCTTGACTCTCTTTTGTACCATCACGATACCCTTCGACATCTTTCTCGCCCCGCTCTAGTCCTCACTCTCTAAGTGGATTTCTGTTTACATACCACCGTAGGTTTCTTTCACTATAACCTCCACAGCCAAGTCCCATGAGCGGGAGTCATCGGTGAACCGAAAGCAACTTTTATTATTATTATCATTATTGTTTCATATGTCACTTGCTCGGTTGTTGTGAAAGTGCCTGGTTCGACTGCCAGTTGATTGCTGTTAAAACGTTCTCTGGCTGCAATAATCTCTTTGTATTTGGAAGTTAATTTGTTATTTTGATGCTTTTTTAGGATGGTTTTAGTAATGCCACTATCTAAATTCTACAAACATGTACACTTTGTCTGTTTGTTCACAGAGCTGGTGCTGCAGGTGCTCCAGCTATTCCTGCAATTGCTGCAGCTCCATCGGGAACAGGACTCCTACCGAGGACTCCGGGCATCAATCCATTTTCTGGCTTGCCATACACCCAAAGGTATGAAGCCCGTTGTGGTAACAAGATTCAAGAATTTTTGTTTGCTTCCTACGTTGCCTCATCACTTAAATTGGATTTTAAATTCCTGTTTTACTTTTAAATTTTTAGATATCATGAGTTGCATCGGAAACGGATTCAGCTGCCAGTTTTTGAATACAGGGAGGAATTTATGAATTTACTGGCCAACCACCAGTGTATAGTGCTTGTTGGAGAAACCGGTTCTGGTAAAACTACACAAATTCCACAATGGTAAGTCACCTATCCTGATGTTGGCAATGATTTGAAAATTGGATCAGACCTTAAATATTTATTTTCTCTCCTGCAAGGTGTGTGGAGTATGCTATGACTTTGGGGAAAAAGGGTGTTGCCTGCACCCAGCCCCGTCGAGTAGCTGCAATGTCTGTCGCTCAGAGGGTGTCAGAAGAAATGGATTGCGCATTGGGTCAGGAAGTTGGATATTCTATCCGTTTTGAGGACTGCTCCAGTGCTAAGACAGTTCTTAAATACATGACTGACGGTATGTTACTTCGAGAAGGCATGTCAGATCCAATGCTGGAGAACTACCAAGTAATATTGTTGGATGAAGCCCACGAAAGAACCCTTGCAACTGATATTCTCATGGGTGTTTTAAAGGAAGTGACAAAGCAGAGGTCAGACTTAAAATTAGTTATCATGTCAGCAACACTTGATGCAGGAAAATTCCAGGTGTGAAAATTTGTTGTGATTTTGTGATACATAGATCACATTATTTATTTTTTCTAATTGTTATTTGTTTTTTCCATATTTTTTTTAGTCCTACTTTGACAATGCTCCTCTCATGAATGTACCTGGAAGAACACATCCTGTTGAAATCTTTTATACTCCGGAACCTGAACGTGACTATTTAGAGGCAGCTATCAGAACAGTTATTCAAATTCACATGTGTGAGGAAATTGCTGGGGATGTTCTTCTTTTCCTAACAGGACAAGAGGTGTGTATGCTTGATTTATTCTTACTGCCCCATTTTTGTCTTGTGGTCTGTGGATGAAGTTGATCGTAAATTCTATGTTTTCTGTTTCTAGGAAATTGAGGAAGCCTGCAAACGTATTAAGAGGGATATGGACAATTTAGGACCAGAAGTTGGAGAACTGAAATGCATCCCTTTATATTCTACACTGCCTCCTAATTTACAACAGCGCATTTTTGAGGCTGCACCACCTCCCAAATCGAATGGTGCAGTGGGACGAAAAGTGGTAGTCTCAACCAATATTGCAGAAACATCTTTAACAATCGATGGAGTAGTTTTTGTAATAGATCCTGGATTTGCCAAGCAAAAAGTTTACAATCCTCGCATTAGAGTGGAATCATTGCTTGTATCTCCTATCAGCAAAGCATCAGCCCAACAGAGAGCTGGGCGAGCTGGGCGAACACGGCCCGGCAAATGCTTCAGACTGTATACTGAAAAGGCCTATAAAACAGAAATGCAGGACAATACCTACCCTGAAATTTTACGATCAAATCTGGGCTCTGTTGTCTTACAACTCAAAAAACTTGGCATTGATGATTTAGTTCATTTTGACTTCATGGATCCTCCAGGTTAGTGTGAAGCCAACCCTCATTGAAGTTGAAGAAAAAAGTAGTCTTTACCAAATCTATTCAGCTAAGATTTTCTATCTTTTATATTTTTTGTTTATTCCCACAGCTCCTGAGACTTTGATGAGAGCACTTGAGCTCTTGAACTACTTAGAAGCTCTAGATGATGATGGAAATTTAACTGATCTCGGAGCTGTTATGGCTGAATTCCCTTTGGATCCTCAGCTTGCCAAAATGCTGATTGCATCATGCAATCACAACTGCTCTAATGAGATACTGTCCATTACAGCCATGTTGTCGGGTATTTACCATTTTTCCAATTTTTTACTTCTAATTGTTAAGTTTCAGCCTTCAAACTTTTCTCTAATTGAAGAGATTGGTTGATTTGCATACATTTATTCTATGATACTGCTATTGGTATTGAAGAACTAATGTTGCCAACTATTACAACTTAATGGTTGACCTTTTTTTCTTTTTTTTTTCTTAAATCTAATTTATCCTTATCTTAAGATCTGACCAGAAATTAGAGCATTTAGCATCTGCCATTTTCAGCTATCACTTTTTCAAATCTAATCTTTTTAATTTTTTACCACTTTATTGTGAGTTGTGTAGTAAAGTATTCTTCTTTTATCTGTCCAGCCAATCAGATTTGGCAACCTTTAACTAATTGCTCTCTAACGAATAAATGCTTTAATGAAGCAGTAGAGTTACTTTGGGTTAAAATTACATTTTTCTGAGTGAGGGCTGATTTGGCAGCTGCCTGGTCACAGTACTGCTTGGAGAGATGTGGTCCCCCTACTAAATATCGGATGTGGGCCACCCGTCTGGCCACCACCCCTGCTCTGCCTGCTGTTTAGTCCCTCAGTGTTTCGTCCGACCAAATGAAGCCAAGAAAGCAGCAGATGACGCCAAGATGAGATTCGCTCACATTGATGGAGACCACCTGACCCTTCTCAACGTATATCATGCATTTAAGCAAAGTAAGATAACTTTTTTATCACCCAATTCCTCATGCAAGGATCATTTGTGTCTTACACGTGTTGTTCTTTAAACCCTTTCTTAGATCAAGAAGACCCAAACTGGTGCTATGACAATTTTGTCAACTATCGATCTTTGAAGTCTGGTGATAATGTGCGGCAACAGCTTTCAAGGATAATGGATAGATTCAGCCTGAAGCGAACCTCCACAGAATTCACCTCTAAGGATTACTACATTAACATTCGTAAAGCTCTTGTCACTGGATTTTTCATGCAGGTAGAGTAACTTTTTTTTACTAGCACCTCAGAAATTCACAAAGTAATGAGAGGGTTTCTGAATTTTGCTAGCACCAAATTTTAACCTTGGAGTAAATAATGTATCCTTTCCTCCCTTCTAGGTTGCCCATTTAGAAAGAACAGGCCACTATTTGACAATCAAAGATAATCAAGTTGTTCAACTACATCCTTCAACCTGCCTGGACCACAAGCCAGACTGGGTCATCTATAATGAATTCGTGTTAACAACGAAAAACTACATTCGTACTGTCACAGATATAAAGCGTAAGTTTCTGCTCTTCCAATTTCCTTCTGCACTTGAGAACTGTTTCTTATGTTTCATTTTTGTTTACTTTCAGCTGAATGGCTTCTAAGAATAGCTCAACAGTATTACGATCTGAACAACTTCCCTCAGTGTGAAGCTAAACGCCAACTTGAACTCCTTCAAACAAAATTGGACTCCAGACAGTACCAGGAAGGGTTCTAGGGTATGAAGACAGGCTTTGGCTGAAATTGCAAAAGACTTTTATTCTGAGCTTGATTGATTGGTTGGTTTACATGTTCCTATATACGTCCCCAAACTTTCACTTATTGCAGGGGCTAATGGAAAAAGTAATTCAAGTCAATCCATGGCATCAACAGCTGGGTCCAAAATTATCAGACCCATCCATGTTAATCTTTTAATCATCATACATTCAGAAGGAAAAAAAACCTGCCCTATTTTGTTATCCTAAGCTACTATTCTCAATATCAATTCTACAATTTAGCACGAGTGTATGTGACTTAGTTATTTTGGCTCAAATTCCTCTATTTTTAGACCTTTCATTCCACAGCATTAAATCTAGTTTCAGGTTAGTTGGTAAAATAAAAACTTAACTCTTACTGGTTAATATTAAATATTAGTTTGACAATACATATTTACATAGATGTATTCAATTATTGGATTTTGTGATGATTTACTGCTTTTTCATGGACATTGCCTGCATCACAAAGTGAACGTTTTTTAGTTTGTACTGGTACGAGTATGCGACTCTTTTTGTCTGTCAGTAGTGTGAAGCTAAGATTAACAGTGTACTAGACAATCCTTTTTCTTGCCTTTATTATTGTGTATATTTTGTTAACCTCAGAGATGCAGCAGGATCAGTTCAGCACTGTAATTTTAGTGTATTGTTAATGTTTCACTACTTCAAAGGGCATTCTGTGTTAGCAAATGTTCTCAATCCATGTACCCATGCTTAAAAAATACGGTGGATGTGTAATAAGCTGCCTACTGAATTGAAAGGAAACTTTCCTTTTTAACATTTTGTACTGTATGTGATGTGTGAACACAGGTGTGATGTTTAATTTTTTTGTATAGGAATGAATTGCATTTTTCCTCATTATCAGCTTGGTCATACTGCACTTGTATTTTTATTTTATTGTAGGAATAAAGAATATTGCAGTTGGAAGGAAACTTTTGATGTTTTATTGTTCTTGTAAATCATATTAATGTTTCTTTTTATCAAAGAAATTTACATTTTCCAGTCCTTCAGGCATATAAGTAAGACCAGATATGTCTTTATGCCTCATGTTGTAGTTCTTTCCCCATCCTGAAATTTGATTTTTCTTTTAGTGTTCATGCAGTTTATGGCATGCCATATTATTTCTAATTTATTTTTGTTACCTAGCTGGGTGGCCAGTTTGCTTGTTGCATTACGCAGATGAAGGGGAACACCAGGCTGGGGTCCTTTCTGGTGTGACACTGTAGACTTCGCAGCCATGAGAGCTTTGTAAACCTCTGTAGATTTAGGTGCTCTGGAAAACAATTTCAACAAGGTTAAGAAGTTTACAAAGCCAACAACCACATCAGCGAAAAAAGGAATCAGTAAACACAACAACCCATAGCCTGGAGTGGCTCTCAACCTCTGTGTAAAATACTATACTGTACCTTGCCAAATACACTGCACATTGTGCCAGAAGCACGTCACATTCTGGCATCCCAAGTAACTGACATCCCTGCATAGTTGCGACCGCCATTGGTAGGGCAGAGGGGTCCGCAAGGCCTATTTAACAAAAAGCAACCTAATCCTCAGGCTGTTCCACAAAAGTACTTCATTAGATGCTGCCAGAAGAATAATTAAAATCACCTATATCTTCTGAAGCTGCCCGTACAAGACGGCGTCCAACAAAAACTGGATCCTCACCCCCTTCAAGCATTCTTGTCACCCAATACAGTGTTGCATTAGCATCTGAAGCACGAAGTGACTTATGCATAGCTGATATGATATTATAATGTTCATCCCCCTTTTTGTCATATAATAAATGTGATCTCTGCAAAAAAAAATGAGATATTAAAATCACTGCAATGAAATTACGGATTGAGTTCTACAACTTATTTTCACCAACAGTGAGCACACAAGAATGATGATTTTTATCACCTTAATTCCATCTTTGATGTCATCTAGTGAAATGTGGTTTTCCTCAGAAGAACCGTCTTCACATTCTTTGGCTTTTAAAGCCATCTGAAGGCTGTTCAAAGCATTTCTGGCATCACCATCACACATATCAGCCAACCACTGTACAGACTTTCTATCAATTGACCATCTGAAAAAGAAGACTACTTGTATGAATTGGAAAATGTTAGGACCGGTGACAACAGTATCTGAAGTTACCTCTTCTTATCACTTTTGTCATCCTCATCATCCTCATCATCTGAGGAATGAGTACTTTCATTGTCTCCTGGTACAACTCTACAAGCAAGGGCTTTCAAAGCCCTCTTGAGAATAATTACCATACATTCCGACTGTAGTTTTTCAAGAACAAAGACTCGACAGCGGCTAAGCAAAGCAGAATTCAGACTGAACGATGGGTTTTCAGTAGTTGCTCCTATTAAAATAATAGTTCCATTTTCTACATGTGGAAGAAAAATGTCCTGAGTAAAGAATAAAAATGTTTATGAGAAGGTTAACACTTTTGGAGAAAAGTGATACAGAAAATCCTTTCGCTACAATCATCTCAAGTAATGAGTGAGCAATCCTACCTGCTGTAACTTGTTGAATCTATGAATTTCATCCATGAATAGAATGGTGCGTCGTTTAAAGTTGCGCTGTTCATTTGACGCTATTTTAACAACCTCTTTGACATCATTGACACCTGACATGGTGGCAGACAATTTGACGAATCGTGTCCCTTGACGCATCTGCTTGCACTGTGCAGCTATGACATGAGCTAGAGTTGTCTAGTGAAATCAAAATTATTAAGAAGTTCTATCTTTCATGTTGGATTGACTGCACGTATTCAATAACACAGATATTACATACCTTGCCGCATCCTGGAGGCCCCCAGAGGATCATGCTTGGGATATCATGTTTATCTAGGAGCATACGTAATATTTTATCTGAACCTAGAACGTGCTCTTGCCCCACATATTCATCGAGATTTTCGGGTCTTAACTGCTCAGACAGAGGAATTCCAGAAGAAATAGATGCCACTTTCGTTTTTGAATGCTCTCCTCCATCGCTAGTTTGCTGCCAGGCAAAAAGAAAATATTTCTTAACTTGTGCAATACATAAACAATGACAACAAGAAACGATTCATAAGAGCACAACGTCAATGGTTGAGTCTTGAAGTCCCACCTCAGAAAATCGTGCACCCTCTTCAATCTTAGGTCTTTTAGGCTGTGATTCCAAAACAGTACTAGCCCGTTTAGTCGAGGAAGCAGGTGATGTAGTTTCATTCGAGTTGAAGAACAAGCAGCGGCTGGCGTGTTGCTCGATCTCTTTGACAGGGAAGACCTTGCCGCAAATTGGACAAGGGACATCCGAGGGGTCCATGGTTCCTTGAAAGTTGGAGAGTGCTAAAAGTTGGTCTTTGTCCGAAGTTGTGGTTATCAATCTGGTGTTTGTTGCGTTTGACTTGGCGGGCTGAAACTGAAACAGAAAGTGGGGGTTGGGGAGTAGAGGGGGAAACCTCCCCTTCCGTTCCCCTCCCTCCCCCTTACCCTTGCCGAACTCTCATGATGAAAATCTCAGCATTCATAAATCGTAGCTGATGGAAGCACAACACGCGTGTGTTCACGCTTCTTCACGCCGATATTAATGCTTTTCCTCGTCATCGCGCTCTTGTTGACATCCGTTAATTCCGCCCTACGCCCAACTCCCTCGGCTGAAACTTGCCTTTTTGGCCTCTCTGTTCGGTATACGACAAAGTGAAGTAGTGAAGTGCCAGGCCTCTGCTAGTACGTTCCAGAAACAGGGCTGGTTGACGGGTCATTTGCGTTTTACCTGTTGAAAGCTAGTGTCAGCATAGGCTATCATGCCGAAAGAACTTTTGCATTGCTACCGCCTGGGCTGTGGGCAGAAATTCGACCCTGAAGAAAATCAGGAAGGTAAGTCAAAATCATTTTAATGGTCTTAACCTGTTCGTGGTGGTCCAGTCTGTATTCAGTTTATGACTGTTTTCTCAACTACTTTTCCCTGCCAATCCGTGCGTTGCATTAACTCCACTCTGTTACAATCTGTAGATTCCTGCACGTTCCATGCTGGACAACCTGTTTTTCACGATGCGTATAAAGGATGGTCCTGTTGTAACAAGAAATGTACTGATTTCACGGAATTCCTCAACATTCGGGTATGAAGTAGTTCAAGTAGGTGTTAAGTATGCATTTCTTTTATTTATTCACCTCCTTCGTTTTCTTTGGTTTAGGGTTGTAGCAGCTCTTTCCACAGCAACGAAAAGCCGCCTGAACCTGAAAAGCCAGTTGTAGATAAGTCGAAGGCTGATGAGGTGATTGTTGTGAGACCACCTGTCCAAGAGAGTTTGCCTCGTCCACCTCTTACTACTCCTCTTACTACCCTGAAGACTGAGATATCACCTTCAGTAAAGCAGCAGCTAGAAACTCTTCAAAAATCTGATGATTCTTCTGATCAAATTGTTGGGGATGGTACACCTCCTATTGGAACAACTTGCAAAAATGGCGGGTGTAAAGCTGTGAGTTGGTAAATTATCAGACCTGAGTTTCAATTTGTCTTTCTATCCTTCTGATAATCTGGAAATCCTTTCAGAGTTATGAAGGAATTCAATCAGTTGATGACCAATGCCTTCACCACCCTGGATTTCCTGTTTTTCATGAAGGTATGAAGTTCTGGAGCTGTTGCGTGAAACGCACGTCAGATTTCAACGCATTTTTAGACCAGGCAGGCTGCTCTAGTGGGAAACATGTCTGGTTCAAGAAGGAGGTAAGACAATTGTATATTAGTAAGCAAACTTTGTTTAATTTTTGTGGCAATGTCAATTTATTTTATCTCTTTTAGTCTAAGGCTGGCGTAAAATGCAGATATGACTGGCATCAAACTGGCAGTCATGTGGTAGTCTCTGTTTTTGCCAAAAAGTATGACCCATTCAAATCTTTTGTAAAGTTAAACCCAATAAGACTTGTAATCCATAGTTACTTCCCAGAAAGTGATGGGTCGTTCGATTTAGATTTGGAATTAGTTGGAGTAAGTATTTTTACCATTATAATCTGTATTCAATTTCAATCTAATTTTGAATTTTTTGATCATGATATCTGGTTGTGGCTTTTCAGGTTGTTAATGTAGATCAAAGCAGTGTATCAATGCTGGGTACCAAAATTGAGGTGAAGCTAAAGAAAGCAGAAGTAGGTGCATGGAAGAATCTTAACATCCCTAAGACTAGTGTTCAATCTGAAACTTCTACCGACAAACCAGAAGATATTCCTTCAACACTAGAGAGCAGAGTAGATGCTGTTGACTTGAGTGATCTGTAGATCTGTACAATGAATACTGGATACTTTTCAAAGCAAATATGTTGCTATTTTTTACTGTTAAACTTAATTTTATTAATTTTTTTATGAAACAGCATTTAAGGTCAGTTTGTGGTTTAAAAATATAGCATTCTTGCCAAGAATTCTTGTAAAAGGAAATTAACTTAAGCACAAACCTTCTATGCATGTATGCGTGAACTGAAATCATACAAAACCTGTTACTCTATGTGTTAAATAAATTAATTGTCTTTGGTGACTTCCCTGCAGTTTCTTGATTTAAAATAATTTGCCTTTAATTTAAGCTCAAAATTTTTGCACAAATTTAACCTCTTCCGTACGAATTGTGGCGGCTGTCGGAACAGGAAATCAGGATTTTTGTTTTACAAGGTAGGGAAATTTCTGATCGAGATTTTCATAATTTTAGACCACATTAGCACCATGGGGTACTCATAATTATATCTCAAAACTGTTGCTACCTGCTATTTGGTTTACCTGTTCTGTTCAGAAGAAAGCTGTGCATAATTAAAATCACCGACAAGACTTTCTTTTTTGCTGAAGGGTTGGCTGCCTGACTGGAATTCACTTGTTTGTTTTGCTGTCATTGCGTATACTCCGTCCGTCTGCATAAAGCGTATATCGTAGTGAACAATAGCGTGAATTGTTTGGTTTTGCAGATTAGATTCAAAAGAACTCTTCCGAAAATGGCTATGTGGTTTCATAGGAACGTCTTGAAGGCGACAGTTGTTGCCAACTTCGATTTTCAGTACATCCAGCACGATGTCGATGCTACGAAAGTGGCCTGGTACTTGTCATTTCTCTAGGGCTAAATCTGAATAATCTTAACCTGAGAAAAGATTCATTCCTCTACCCTTGTCATTTCCTTTTCTGATGTGACAGCCTTGCAGCAAGACTTTTCTTAGTCAATCTCTGATTAAAATATCATGTCATAGTCAAAGGGATGTTTTGTTCCCAATTATTTTGAATCTTTCAAAGTACTTAGATGTTTGTTTTGATCTGAATAATAGATTTTATAGTTCCCGTATTTAAATTTAAAAAACATCATTTAGTAATTAGGTCATTACCTAATGGCACTGTCTATTTTTCAGTGAGCTCAAAGCAACTCGCTATAAACTGCTGGACATGTTGCCAGATCCTCGAGGCTCTGGTGTAGCTATGGAGCAAGCCCTCACAGCATATATTGCTGTTCTACAGGGCATGCTTGAGGCCCCTGATGGTAGTGGGGCTCCAAGTAAGCTTCGCCATGCCCTGCTTTTCAAGTGGTCACATTCCCTTCTTGGTACAACTCCCCAGTACGTTTAAATGTGTGATAAATATTCTATGACCTTCTTTATCTATCATCAATTCTTACACTTTGTCTCTTAATCCTAGAATTCAACAAGATGCAGTGTTTGAGGCTGCCAATATAATTGTTAATGTGGCTATCTGGTTCATGAAGCATGCCTCAACATTGTGTGTCAAGGATGAGTAAGTGCAAAAATGGTGAAAGAAAAGTTTTAGTTTCTTGTTACTTCAGGATTTCTAAGAGGTTTTCATTTCATCTAATTTTAGGATGAATATGGATGACGCAAAAGAGGTTCACACAGCAATGCGTAGAGCTGGTGGTCTCTTTGAAGTGGTCCAGAAGAAATATTTGCCGTTGTTGCGTGAAAAGGCGAGAGAGGGAGGAGATCTTGATCCTCGAGTGGTGAGGGCTTACAAAGACCAATGCACAGCTGAAGCTCAAGAAGGTGTGATAAAGACATCCTTTTCGTAGAGTGGTTTTCTTTCCCGTAAATTTTCTTTAATCTCTGAAATTTTTTGGCAGTTTCTGTTGCACGTGCTGTTGAACTAAAGCACAGCCCAAGTCTTGTGAGTGCCCTTGCCAATGAAACGGCAAAATTATTTTATGAGGCGGACGCAGCTTTGAGTTCCCTTGATGAGAAGGTTTCTGGTCAATGGCGAAAATACCTGCAACTTAAAAATCACTTCTACATGGCCTATGTAGGTGTCATCACTTTTAAAGTCATACTTTTACTATATACTCCTATCAATTTATGATGTTCACTTTTCCTCTCATTTCAGGCCCATACATACTGTGGAGAAAATCTGCTATCACAGGACAAGTGTGGTGAGGCCATAAGGTCACTGAGGGAGGCACAAACTCATTACGAAAAAGCTGCTGCTCTCTGCAAGGATTATGCCTCAACCAAAGGGCCAGCCCCACGCACTGGCAGGCCAGATTATTTTTCATTTTTCAAGAAACTTGCCTTACGATTCAAACTTACTCTGGAAAAATGCGAAAGGGAGAATGGTTTCATGTATGTTACTTTCCACCAGGTATATAATCTATTTTTCACTTAATTGCATTATTCCAAGAGGTTTTTAAATTTGACAGATATCACCAAAAAATTCCAAACGATGCTCCAGACTTAGAAATGAAAGCAACCTACGGCCTGGCCAGTCCTGTAGAGTTTCAAATGCCTGCCCCTTCACCTCTTTGGACGCCCGTGGCATATGCTGCCATTGATGCACCCCGGTCTTCGCCCAATGACCCTGCAACATCGGTAAGTAACTCCCACAAGCCGTTTTTACCATTCCTCACTGCTAGTGGCTCATTGGTACTCTCTAAAATTTAATTTCAGAAGGCAGCTGCCAAGCTAGAGGGCGATCTAAAACCTGTGAATGAGGTAAAAGTGGAAGGTGTGAACACAGAGGCAAAGCCCGATGACAAAAATTGCATTCTTCAATGAGTGTCAGTAACGTTTCTTCACAAATCATGTGTCTCATTGATTTTTTCTTTCTTTATTTCACTTAGTCCTTTAATAGACAGTGACGAAGTCTAGGAAATTTCACCGTGCTATTAATAGGTGATGTTTTTTTTCTAACTTTTTTGTACATATGTCTATTTGCTTTGAAACCATATATATATGAAAGCTATATTTAAAAGCATATATTTTTTTTATTGTGCAAATACATAATTAAATTATGTATAAGTTGTAATTTAAAATTACAGATTTGAATGAGTGGAATTGTGCTTGCAGTCTGTTCTTTCTTGCTGGCAACTGATCATATTGTGGACCCTCAAGTCAAAACCAATTATTTGTTGACTGTGTGTATGGATGATTGCGTTTATATTATTTTTGCATGTAAAGCACCGGTTATGTATGTAGTCAAATCTATTGCAGAAGTTTAGTGCCCCAAAATTTACAAAATTGACTCATTTTGTACATGTTTTACTAGATAATAATTTTAACAGATTTGTTATGCCTTCATATTGCAAGAAGTACCAGTACCTCATTTTTCTTATAACAAAGTGTCAGTACTGGCCATAAATTTTGATTGCATGTTTAATCCTTCTCCTCTGTATTCTTTTTCCCTTTTTTAATGTACTTATTATCTTGTGTTTAAAACAAAACAAATGTTCTGAAAGTACTTTGAAATTTCAAGAACATCTAGTCATCCTCTATTTTTGTTGCTGAATTTTGTTACCCATTTTAATTTTTATCTTTTTATCTT